ATATATTTTAATTTATATACATTATTATATATATATATATATAGGAAAGGAAATGTAGTTGAGCATAATTAGCGTCGAGCGACATTGTGCGAGTGATCAGAATGTTAATCGCGTCGATGCGGTCGAATCGCGCTGTCCCATTACCCAACCCCCTGTCCGACTGCATACTTACAACGAAAAGTAAATCGCGCTGGAGAAGGGATGGAGCAGCTTACGCCATCGCGCAGTTAATACGACCCTTATCTTAAAACGGGAATCAAATTACGGCGATCTGAGTATCCCGAGGAGCTATTACAATCGGGACACGCCGTAATAGACGATAGACGGCGGAAAACGGCGGCGTTATCTTCGGCCCGATTAGAAGGAAAGAGAGGATATGATTCACGAGGATCATATACACGGTGTCTAATACATATCTTCCCGTAATTACAACTAATTATAATAGGAGTATTACCTCGTTATAAATTAAGATGTTAATAAATAGTAATTCATTGAAAACTGAAGGATTTTAATTGAAATTGTCTGCATAATTTTACACGTAAATATAATTTATTAAAGAAGGATCTCATTTATATTCATATATTTAACGAGCACATTGTGTATGTTTTGAATAACTTTAACGCAAGATATTATTTTGCAAGTTCCTTTTCACAAGCGTAGAAGCTGGGAAATTTTTGCTGGGAGAAAATCGACGCTGATCGTGGAAAAATACAGCGTGTCAGAGACACCCTGTACATTTCGCAGATATAACGCGGAAAATAGGGATGTGCGAGCCGGGGCGGCCGATATATATGTCGTTCGTAATTGCCGAGAAGCAGTTTTTCGCGATAGATATACCGCGGCCTGTCCGAACCGTAACAGGCCCGTTATCGGAAACCGAGCGAATTATTTAGTCAGGAAAGTCCTGAAGCAGATGTCGCGAAGTTACATCGTCATCCAGGTTTCTAGAAGCCGGCTCGTATCTCCGGGGGATCATAATTCCTACGATATCTCGCTCGGATCTCTCTCATCGTCTGCTGCTGCTGCTGCGACGCGATGCGCGAAGTTACTTTTCGACTTGTAACGTTATCACGGCGGTGCCCTTATTCCCCCATCCCCTCGTTCGCCGCTCTTATAGACGAGATTCACGCTCACGTGCAATCCCAACGTGTGCACGTCGTTTTGCACTTTGCCAAGAAGGCATCCAAAACTGATTGAAATTTTTTAGAGATTCAACTCTTCGTTTGATTTGGTGAGCTCTCATAAATTGAGAAGATAAAACAGCGTTTCTAAAACTGTTTATCGCGCGCGTCAGTTTTGAAACTATTTAGTAAGTAAATTTCATAATAAAAATATATGGCTAGTAGGATTTTTTAATTTATTTCAAAACGTTGATAACAATATAATCTTATTCGATTGCAAGAACTATATGTGCAATTCGCTACGCTTTCAAGCTACACATTTGATGGCGATGAATATGGATGTCATATTTTATCAAGCAAAAGCGTGTTAACTTTTATCGATGTGAGCCGTATATTGTATGACAAATTCATCCCCTTGCATCGGACATATAACTTGCTGTTACAGCGCAGAAAAAGTAGGCGAAGTTTCCATTGCACTGAAAATAGTTTTTCCTATAACTCCGAATTGACGTAATAGAAACTAGTCGAAACGTTACGAAGTCTCATAAGTCTCACACATTTTCATACTTTGCGTGCAAACCAGCCGCCCCAGCGTGTTACAAATTACTTCTTTAGTCGACAATGCATTACGCTTACTAGCGCGATCGACCTTGTTCACGTCACATCCCTTTCGCGAAGATTTAGCCTCCAAAGAATATTAAATACAAACTACACGCGAGCGGGAGAAAATTTTTTAAGTTGACAAGCAACGAGCACGATGCATCAAATTCGTTTGCAACAATAATAAACTCGCTTATACTCTTCGCTCCCGTAAAATTCTCCGTTGATTTGAACCAGCATCTCCTCGAAATTGAATAAAAAATATCTTTTCTATGTTGCTATTTATTTATATTCTCAAAATTTTATTTGCATAAAATTTTTAACTACTTAATCACTTTCAATTCATAAACATTTTTTTTCTCATTTCGATTTCTAGTATCCCGCGTATGGTTTCTATGGTGCTTCTGCGATCGCTCTGTACATTGCGCATCACGGGGTTAACGACCGAATGCAGCGAATTATAATTGTAACGCGGCAAGCTCTCTCGCATGGCGGTTATACGAGTGGGCCTCCCGAATACCGCGCGTTAATTATATTTATCACTCGCAGGCCGCGCGAGCAGTTGACGCGGAATTCCGCGCAGCGCATTAAATAACAGTCGTAACGGTGCCAAACGTCAGTTGTACTTCCGGCCGATAACAATTTCCCCGTGTACGCGTTATATCGCCTCGCGGCACCGTCCGACGGATCGTATTACAAAATTACTTTTCGGCGTATACACGACATTATTACAATGCCATCGGGTGGCCGGGGACCATCGTTCATTCTCGCAATCAGTACGCGCGCGCGCAAACCGTGA